GGCCATCCATCCCAACAAGACTAAGGTCATGTTTATTGGATCACGACAGAAACTTTCAACCATCAACGAACCGCTCAACGTTTCTATTTGCGGAACCAACATCTCCCAAACAACCTGCGAAAAACTACTTGGTGTGCACATGGATGACTCACTCACATGGAACACCCATATTTCTCACGTTATCAAGAAATACAACAACAAACTTGAACTTGTGAAACGAGACAAACCTTACCTTACACCCAAGCTCCTCCTTCTCCTTTATAACAGCATAGCAAAGCCAACACTCGAATATTGTTGTAGCGTTTGGGGTAATTGTAGTACAGACGCTCTTGGACGTGTAACATCTGCCCAAAAACGTGCCGCGAGGATTCTTCTAAACGCTGATTACACTATCCCATCAATAACATTATTCAACGAAATCAACCTTATCCCAATTCATGACACCATTCGCCACCGGATCCTACTACAGACGTTCAAATGCATATATGACATCAGTCCACCATGCCTCAGCACCCTTATGGAAAAACCAACCCACCACCATTCAACAAGAGCTATTGCGAATAATAATGTCCACATCCCAAAAGCAAGATCTAACGCAGGAAAACGACGATTTTCATTTATGGCATGGAACAGTTTCCCTAATGAGGCAAAGAAAATAACATCGCAGCCATCATTCAACACATATTGCAAGGGTTACTTTAGTCAGAAACCCGTGAGTTCAACTAAACTTAACAGCATAAGGAATTATTAAGACATCTAAAAATGTCATTAGTAATTAATTGTTTAATATAAGTATATAGTCCAATAAGTATCAGTGACAGTGTATTTCTCTGTTAAGAACATTTAGTGTTTGTTTGGTTGCATGTTTTCTCTTTTATTAAGACTATAAGTTGGTTGCTTGCTTGATGTACGAACTGCCGAAGTTCATGCTTGCAGTTTTAGCTGAGCATGATCTAACTTTCGGTTGTTCGTACATGCGGAAAGTGTCAAATACTGACATGTTTATAATGTCACTTCAGACACTTGTGAGTTGTATGTCAACGCGTATTTCGACTTATTATACTGCACTGTAAATATAATTTAGACATAGTTAGAAAATTGCCTAATTAGTAAATTGGGGCTTTCTCGAGGTATGAACAACTGAATTGTAGTACTGCACTGTAAAAACTGATAGGTTAAAATAACCTATTTGTAAAGGTTATCACTTATATAAATAGGTTGTTGTAACCAATTGAATAGGTTATAACCAAAATAAATAGGTTAAAATAACCAATTATTTTTGGTTAATCTTGAACATTTGGGTACAACTAATATAAATAGGTTAATTTTAACTAATTGACCAAAATAAATAGGTTAAAATAACCAATTATTTTTTTGTTAATCTTGAACATTGTACAACGAATATAAATAGGTTATTTTAACCAATTGCTTTGGTCAAGCGAATTCACCAATAGGTTATTGTAATTTGTAGTTTAAAACAAGTGAACTAAATTTAGATCGATAATATTTTTACTGTGTATCAATGGAGTTTCACTTGTTTTGTATTTTGTTAAAAAACTCAGTAGTTCTAAAAATTATTGTATAGTTTAATAGGTTGTTATCTTGGGTGTTAAATAGCCAGTATATAACAATAGGTTGTTTTAAATATTTTTATAATGCTCATTCATAATGCATAAACTTTGTACGTGGCAAATCATGTCAACCATTAAGGAATTAAATTATAAGCCATGGCCAATAATAATTGCTCAAAAGACAAAAAAGTTATAGGCAATTATCAATCTCGTACCCAGAGCAATGCCTGTGCTCGGGCTAGGATGGCATTGGCTCTGGGAAAATTGACAACCGGAACCCCTAAATTTAGGGGTTCCGGTTCTTTGTCGGCATGCACGATTGATCACGTTAAACCAATTACAGCACAAGATAAATTAAATTTCCCCAGAGCCAATGCCATCCTAGCCCGCGCACAGGCGGCTCTAGCTGGGTACGAGATTGGGCAATTATAGGCAATATTAGTTCAGTCCAGGGACGCCGGAACGATAATAAGGCAAAGGGGGGCAGACGCACACCAAGGGCACCTCTATAGAGAAAAAGTTCAAAATCTACCGGAAAATTTGTTTTTTCATGGAAATTTTTTGGGCGAACTTCCCCCCCCCCGTCGCCAAAAAATTATCGGTCAGTGTACCATTTTAGGGGTCAAAATTTTTTTCCGGACATATCAAAATTTTCTGTTAAGTTAAATTTTTTTCTAAATTCCAAAAATTTTCTAAAATTTTTGTAAATTAAACTCGTTCTTTATAATTTACCTGCCAAACCTAAAAAAAACTCTGGGCCAGGGTATTCTTTACCAAATTCACAATTATTTTTGTTAATTTACTTTCTATGGGCCTATAAATTACCTGAATCTCATGATTTTCCCAGAAAAAGCATCACTGGAGATGTGATTTATCACGTAGTACTTTACAACTAAAAGGGCAATTCTGCCCCACCCCCCTAGCAAAAGGCAAGGGGGGCAGCCGCCCCCCCCCCCTGCCCCTCCCCCCAGTTCCGGCGTCCCTGTTTTAGTCATAATCTTTGTTAATAAATTAAGGAATTAGAAAATGCATCTTATTTTCTACATACTGATCATAGGCTATATACAACACTGTATAGACCTAACATTGAATTGTTTATCACAGTCATTTCAGCATATAGTATACATTCATGCAGGAACCACACCACCATAAATCATCTTTTAATCTCCACAACTCC